TAACGCCCACTGTTAGGTATCAAACTCCTTGCCTGCAATGGAATTCTGATGATCCCATATGGCTTGAACAGTGGCCACTATCTAGGGAGAAAGTATTAACTCTTGAAAAGTTTATTGAGTAACAATTACAATTAGGACATATTAGGCATTCCCATAGCCCCTGGAACACTCCTGTCTTTACCATTAAAAAAAAAAAAAAGGCTCTGGGGGATGTCGTGTTTACTACAAGACTTGAGGGCCATCAACAAACCATGCAAATCTGGGGATCCCCTCAGCATGGACTCCCAATAATCTCTGCAATTCCTGCAGACACCCACTTGCTATCCATTGATATCAAGGACTGTTTCTTATCCATCCCCTTACACCAAAGAGATTATAAGAGATTTGCCTTCTCCATCCCCGCCATCAACAACTCTGGGCCCGCAAAAAGATAAGAATGGACTGTCATCCTCCAAGGAATGGCTAACAGCCCCACCATCTGCTGGGAGGCTGTCGCCTTTGTCTTAAAACCCCACATTGCAAGGGGACTCCATGTCTACCACTACATGGATGATATCCTTGCCTGGAATGAACCCCCACTACCCTTACCAGACCTCAGGGATCAATTAATATCATCCCTTGAGGCTTCCAGTTTTAAAATCATCCCTACAAAGATTCATCTCATCCCTCCCATAAAATTTCTGGGCACTGAAATTTCCCTAACAACCATCTGGCCACTAAAGCCTGTCCTTTCCTTCCCTTCCTGGCTTACCCTGGTGTATTAGTCACTTTTCTGTTGATATGATAGAAACACTGACCCAAGAAATTTATAGAAGGAAGAGTTTATTTGAGCTCACAGTTTCAGGGGAATTACAGTCCATCATGACAGGGAGGCATGGTGGCTGGAGGTGGCTGGAGCAGGAGCAGCAGAAGCTAAGCTCTCACATCATCACACAGGCACAGGAAACAAGAGCATGACTCGAGATCTGGCAAGGCTTAGGAACTCTGTAAGCCCACCCCCGGTGATGTGCTTCCTCCAGGATAGCCACACCTTCTAAAACCTCCCAAAACAGTGCCATCATCTGGGGACAAAATGTCCAAACACTTGGAGCCTATGGGGGACATTTTCATTCAAACTACCACACCTGACCTCCTTACAGAGTTACTTAGGAAGCCTCAAGGGCTTAGACCCTGGCTCCTACTCTCTACAGACACCCTTCAACCCCTCTTTAACCTCCTAAAAGGGGACAAAAATCACTCGTCCAGATGGTCACTTATATTGGAGGCCAAGGAAACATTAATAACCATCAACAACACTCTCCAAAACATGACCCTACACTGCTATAAACCTTCTTCCATGGTCCATCTCTTAATTTTGAATTCCTCCCCAACCCTTGTTGGGGCCCTGCACCAACCTCAAGTGGTCCTGGAATGGCTTCATACCCTTATTGGTAATGCCCCTTGCCTGCTGACAGAGATGGATACTTTAGCTAATATGATCTGTCAATGGAGAAATTGTTCCCTACAAACATTGGGGAAAGAACTTGATAAAATTATCACTCCCTTTTCCCTCTCCGATGTACAATGGTTAATCCGTAATCACTCCAAGATAACTATTAACCTAATGGGATTTACAAGTTCCCCAGGGATAAATGGATTGCTGCTCTGCCCTCCCTCCCCTGGCTCTCTCCCTCCCTGTTCTCCCAAACCCCCCTGGAAGGAGCCATCATGATCTTCACTGATGTGGGCTCCAGGGGAGCTGCTGCCATCCTCTACAGGACACAGTCCAGCCATCCACCATCCTCTTCCAGGAACTTCTTCATAATTCCCCCCAATATAAAGAATTATACACAGTCTACCTTGCCCTAAGCGAGGTTTATGATCCCATCAACCTTTTTTCTGATAGCATTTATGTCACTAACCTTCTCCCCTGGATCTCAATATCTTTCGTTAAAATCAACCACTCCCCTGCCCCCTGCTTATCTCTGTATCCACCCTCTTACAGGGACGTAAACAACCCCTCTACATCCAACACATCCATTCCCACAGCCCCTTGTGGGGGCCTCTCACAGAGGGCAATGCCCTTGCCAATCACATTGCCTCCCGTGGGGCCTTCCACTCTACAGTTACGAAAGCTAAAAGATTTCATGCTCTTACCCATACTAACCTTAAAAGCCTCCAAGCCCGATTCCCCAACACCCCTATCAGTCACCTCAAAGAAATTCCGAAAACATGTTCCTCTTGTGCTTCACTAATACATACCCCTGCACTACAAACGATGGGCATAAACTCCCACAGCTTAAAAGCAAACACCTTCTGGCAAATTGATATTTATTCATGTCCCCAATTTGGCTGTCAAAAATTCATTTTTGTTACAGTCAACACTTGCTCCAAATTCATCTGGGCCACTGCACAAACTCTTCAAAATTCAAAAAATTCTTATTGCTCACATGCTCATGACATTTGCAATTATGGGCCTCCCTCAACAGATAAAAACTGACAATGGTCCAGCCTTTGTAAGCTCAACCTTTAAATCCTTCTGCTCCCAATGGGGCATATCACACCATACAGGAATCCCTTATAACTCCCAAGGACAGGCAATTATTGAAAGAACTCACCAAACCTTAAAAAAAACTAACTCAAAAAACAAAATGGAGGCAACTACCTCCCCCCAAACATAGAACTGTCTATGGCATTAACTACCCTAAACTTATTCAACACCTCAAAAAATTCATCAGAACCCCCTATAGTTCTCCATTGGAAAAAACCCAGAACCCTCCCATAACTAATGGTGAGATGGAAGGATCCCCTGGACAGACTCTGGAAGGGTCCCAGCCCACTACTAACAACAGGAATGGGCTTTGCTTGTATTTTTCCCCAGGATCAACCAAGGCCTATCTGGTTCCCTGCCAGAAATGTCCAACACCTCCCCGCCAATCAAGAAAATGGCCAGGTTCTCCCTGATGGAGACAACACAACTCAGGAGGAAGAAACGCCACCCAAGGACAACTGTAATGTCACTTGGCGAGACAACAACAGTCTGGTCTCAGAAGCCCAAGTAGCCTGCTCCCAAATGCCTCGCTCTTGGTCATTCTCATGGTCATTTTAGACATACTCCGTGCTAACTCTGCTTCAGCCCAAACAGCATTCATGTGGAAGTTCTCCATCAGAGAAACTTATGAAAAAACGACTAGAGTGATAGGCACCAGAGACTGACCCCCCGCCCCTGTAGGATGCCAAACTGCCATCAGTATCCCCATCCAGCCCCAATCTGCCTCCCCTATGCTTGACGCTTATGCTTGCTTTACCTTTAGAAGCAAAGATAACTACTTACAAGATAAGGACACAGGTGGAGTCTGCCGGTACTGGTTGTGCCACATAGAAAAAAAAGTGCCGAAATGGATAGCATGTACTGTGAAATTAAAGGACGGTTTACAATAATTATCAGTGACCTTTGGGATGATTGATGGCACACTGGAATTCATGGCAAGCTATATGCTAATGGGTTTGCATCCTACCCCAACACTGACATACATATATCTCATCAGCTAATGTCAGCACCACAGTTGAAACAAATTAAATCACATATCCTCGCACAGGAGGGGCATATCAAAAAATAAATTCAAACATCCCTGACTTGGGTCTAATACATCTAGTATACTACTGATCTTGTCCTACTCTCATCCCATCCTAACATCTATCAATGCTTTTTGTGTGCCTCTCTCTCCAGATTCCTGCTAGCAGCCATTCCAGCCAACATCTCAATCACCAAAGGAAACACCCAGGAAACAACCCACCCCCACCCCTCCCCAATATCCCGCTCTATGACCAGCTCCCTTCCTTGCCCTTTTGTTTTCACAGCTCATCTGCTATACCCCCCTCCAACTGTGCTTCTAATATTTCTATATCCACAACCCTATGTGCACCACCCCCTGCCCTCTTTTGGTGTAAAGGCACCATAAGAACTTGTATCAACCAAAATATTCCTGCCTTTTGTACTCCTGTTATTGTTACTCCCCAACTCTACCTTTTAGAAAAGGAGGAAGAGACCAATATGATGACAGCTCCCGGCAGATGAAATAGAGAAGTGTTCATCCCCCTACTGATCAGCCTGGGACTCGCTCTGTCTGCAGGATTGGCCAGACTTGCAGGAGGGGCCCTGGGGCACTCCTATCACTCGGCTGCGGACTTCACAGCCAACTTAAACAAGCCGTGACATCTACAAATGAGAGCCTTGAGGCCCTACAAAACCGAATCACATCCTTGTCCCGGGTGGTACTCCAAAACTGAAGAGCCCTGGACCTGCTAATGGCTGAACTCCGGGGAGGGGGTGTACTTGTCTTTTACTAAGGGAAGAATGTTGTTTTTATATAAATGAGTCTGGGATTGCCAAGCAAAATGTTAAAACTCCCCAAAAACTAAATAATGAGCTCAGGGCCCTTTCCACTTCAGGAAGGGAGGCCCCATGGTTTTCCAACCCCCTCCTTGCATGGTCTCTATCCTTCTTGGGTCCCCTGCTAGCTTTATGCACCCTGCTTCTTGTGGTACCCTGTCTAATCCAATTTTTCACAAGCTGCATACAAGGCATCATTAATATTGCTACCAATCGAGTCCTGGTCAGTTCCAAACTATCCCCACTACCTTCTCCTAATATGATGACACCCACCCCTTATAAAAGACAAAGGGGGAGATGTTGGGATATTGCCAAAAAGGATTGGAATGTAGAGCAGGGCCATGTAACTCCGGAGACCTCCTAGTGAGGATGGCAAGAGTTGGCCTGCTCCAGTCTGGACATGCTGGCTGCCCCATGATCTCTTACCCAACCACCTCTAGGCTAAGTCTCCATTTCCCCAACCCTAATCAGGTTTCTTATTAATCATGTGACCAGACAACAGGACAGAAAAAGACCAGGAGCGGGTTCCATGTAGCTTTGGAAATCACCTCCCTCCCCCTACCTGCCTGCCCACCAAAAACCCAACCCCACCTCTTTGCGCATTAAACATCCCTATAGAAACTTCTCCTTCGCCATATTAAAACGAGTTATCTGCTGACACAGTCTCCCGGGTGTTGCTTCGTTCTCGCCGCTGCCCAAGACTTTCCTCTGCCACCGGCTTCTCCCTCACCCAGCCCTCCAGGACTGGGACCCATGTGCAAAGGCTCCGTAGCAACATCGACGCCCTGGCAGGGAGGAGAGCAACATTTGGGTACCAATGAAATGCAAATCAAAACTACAGTAACACCATCTTGCCCCACTTGAAATGGGGATTATAAAATAAACCTGGCACGGATATAGAGAAAAAGAAACACAAGTTCTTTGGGTGGGGTGTAAATTGCTACAGCTGTTATGGAAAACAGTATGGAAGTTCCTCAAACCAGGTATTCCACTTCTGTCTTTTGGTCATAATATTTTATCAGAGCAACAAAAAATTAACTAATACATGTGCCAAAATAGTGGAGAAAACAATATTAGGGAGGATTTATTCTGGTACTCTTAAGATCAGACTGCTCTACATTAGTCCCTGTTTGTTCTAATTTTATTTCTGTTACTGTGACAAAATATCAGGATAACAAGAAACTTAAGCGCAGAAACTTAAAGATTTATTTGATTCACAATTCCAAGTTACAGCCCATCATTTTGGGAAAGTCAAGGCAGAAACTCAAGTTACAGCACATCCACAGTCAAGAGCAAAGAGAGAATAAACTCATCCTCCCTTACTTTCTAGGTACTCAGCTAGCTTTTTCTGTTCTTACACAGTTCAGGGTCCAGCTCATGAAATGGTGCTGCCCATATTCAGGGTGGATCTTCTCACCTCAGCTAACACAACTAAGACATTTCCTTATAAGTATGTTCATAAACCAACACAATCGAGATAATTCCTCCTTGAGACTGTCTTCCTAGGTAAATCTAGATTGGGTCATGCTATCAGTTAAACTATTCAGCAAAATATTATATATTAAACAGTTTTTTTTCAGGCTGTGGCTTGCCCTGGATAATTACATCTTATAAGCAACATTTGGCTACAATTTTTAAAACTCAAATGCACAGGTAAAAAGACTTTATGCACAACAATAGCACCACCTGCTCAACTGATAAATAATTAATTCTTAAAAACAAAAGACTGTCACCCTATAAACTTCCCAAAGTAGACTAGGACCGCAGGAACACATGGGCATATTAAACCATAAATATAAAACCATCAAACATACCACACTAAGGAATGCTGCAACATCCGTACCTGGACTCATAAAAAGAAGAATATCTAACACTGACACAGCACTGCCCCCCCTCCGTCTGATGTGTCATTGTGTGCATAAAGGGATAGTCAATAAGTAGAGCGTTCCAAGCTTTTTGCAGGGCTTCAGCTCAACTAAGTCACCACTACTGATCAGGCTTCCTCAAATTGTTGTGAGTCTATCGACCCACTAATCAGCCCAGAACCAGTCACACACGTTACCCCCACAGTCCCATGATCCTTTTTCTTTCCTTCATGACATCGATTCTTTTCCACCCCACCTCTGCAACTGGACTCACCCTTGAGACCTGGTCCAACCCTCCAGTCCGTGTAGTCAGGCTCTGAACCTCCAACAAACAGCCTTTCACTTTAGTATCTTATTTAAACCCTGCAGTGAAATTCTTTGTATCTGTGTCAACTCTCTCTTCCTCCAGTAGAGCATCTTTGAGCTCAAACCCTGCTTTTGTGTCTACTTTGTAGCTTGCAGACATAAATATAAACAAATAGAGTTACTGTGAGGTATGTAATGTATGATCTAAGAATTAATATTAGTAATTGTGTAACTGACCTGGCAGAAAAAAAAATATATTCTAAACAGACACTTGTGATCCTCAGTTTGGTCATCAGGCTATTGACATATGGACCCCAAGAAACTAGAACTTCCCTGAATCAATCCCAATGCTGAGAAAATAAAGACCTCAAGATTGGTGTGAGCCAGAGGGTAAACTTGTCTCCTGGAAAAGAGATCTCACACAGTTCTGACAACTTGTCAGTCTACCTTACAAGATAAGCCTGAAGCCCAGGAATGATGGGTCAATGGTGGGTCATTCACCTGGACCACTTAGATGTGGTCCTTCTGGCCTTCTATTGAAACTAAAGTGTCACTTCAGGACACCGAAGATGGACTGGAGGGGATTCACTGCATCTCTTTGTCTCTTTCCAGTGTCGCCACACTAAATACATCTCCCTTTCCTGCTTTTTACTATCAACTTGGCTGTTTTAAATTTGCTTCTTGAGGATGGGTGGCTGAACCTAGCTTTTTGAGGCACAGACTATATCCTCAAGCTCAGCAATCATAGTGATTAAGATTGGAATAAAACAACTTGTGTTTACTGATGATCAGCTATTAAGAGAAATTGGCATTACCTGGAAAAATTGCAGCCAATGCAATCAACATAGCTTGTGAATTTACTTTATTCAATAAACTCTGACATTGAAGAAATACATACATGTCTCTTTGTTTCTGATACATGTACTCACAGCAGTCCCATGATTAAGAGAAACGTATTGTCTTAGCAGGGAATGTTTAGTTGCCGGAATATATTGGCCTGTGACATTGTCCAGGAAGTAGAGAAAGGAATTCTGGTGCCCATTTGGCTTTCTCCTTTTCACCATTTTTAGATTCATTCCAGGATCCCAGCCAGTAACTTGGTGCTAACCAGTTTTGCGATGGGCTTTCTACCTTCAGCTAAGCTCCCTTCACACGCAAATGTGTGCCTCAGTAATGTCCTAGGTGTTTCTTGATGGAATCAGCCTGACTACTATCAACCATCACATACACAATGGAGTTTTAGTCAAGTATAAGAAACATGAAGAAAAATGAAATTGTGATGTTTTTAAGAAAATGCAAGTGAAGATCATCATTTAAGCAAAACAAGCCAGACTTACAAAGACAAGTGTCATATTTTTCTCAACTGTTGAAGGTATATCTCATACAGTCTCTCTCTCTCTCTCTCTCTCTCTCTCTCTCTCTCTCTCTCTCTCTCTCTGAAAATAAAAGAAAGAGTATTTTCAAACAGGAAAGGGACTAGTGGAAGGGCAGAAAAGGTCAACGGGTGTCAAAGTACATGGCAATCTGGAATTTTGAAATGTCATTGTGAATCTCATCATTTTGTACAATAAATAAAAATAATTATAAAAACTTGATTTGGCATTGATTTCCTGCTGGGAACTTGCAGCAAAGAATTATACAATTTATATCTGTGACTAAATATACATAGTCACATATGAATGTGTGTGGGGAGGTGTGTGTGAGTGTGAGCATGTGTATGTATATATGTGAATGTATGTGTGTGTGCGTGTGTGTGTGTGTGTGTGTGTGGTGTGTGTACAGAAGTCCCAGCAAGGGTAAAGCAGGTACATTCTCTTCATACATCCCCATCTCAGTGTATGAAATACTGTTTCCTCCAAGTTGGTGTTAGGCAATCCTGTGTGTGATTGCTGGCTACAGGAAGGCACCAGCTGTCGCTTTTGCTCTTGTGTCTATGAAAGCAGGGAGAACAATGTTTGTTTTCATTTTTATTTCTGGGAACATCATAATAAAACAGGCAGCCTGTTCATCTGCCTGCTTTTGAGCTCTGGGCCAGTTGTAACTTCCCCTCCATGTTCAAAGTGGTTATTTTCTCGTTATGAGTTTAAAAGGAAGAGGTAGATCCAAGCCAGATGGACATATTTGTTTTTAATTTAGGTTTGTAATTTATTGCTGTGTTTTTGATTAAAAATTAATATATAGAATGAGAAAAGACTCCTTAGGGGCTTAAAATGCATTTTGTTATAAAATATAAATTTACTATTAAAGTCAGAAATTTTGTTTTAGTTAAAAGTACATCCTTTCAATCATAGGTGCCAAAATCAAACACATATGCGAAGATCACTGAAATGACTGCAGGACGGTGGCATATTCTATAATAAATTCAAAATAAAATGCTTACTCTGGAAAGAATTTTGATTTTGGAAATAGCGGGGTTATACTTAAAGTATAAGATCAAATAAAGTGGTCAAGAAAGTAGCATCAGTATAAGAGTTAAATTGTTTTGTAACTAATTGTATTAACTAAAATTGTTTTATATTAGGTACAAAAACTCACAAACATTCTATTCAGTGCTGTTTTAATTCTACTTTTTCTTCTTTCCTTTTTTGTGAATGTGACAAACTTTGTGGATTTTGAACTGCTTGTAAGTGGAGACAGAATTTTAATTCATATTTTTATTTGGTCTACTGAAATAGACACATGCTACAAGCTCCACAGCTTAGTCTTTCATTTCCCCCTCCTTCCTTCTCTCTTCCAATGCTGAGTGACCAGTGCTACCTTGAATATGTTTAGTCTGACACTGATCTGCAAACAGTCTGAGTTTTGATCATTTGTCCTCATTAATACTCAGTTCATTTTTTGTGGCTTCAGGTTTGCATAAGCTTAAATATTTTGATGTCCCAGTACAGGATCTTTGGGGTTATAAAGTATATTTCCTTGAAAGTGTTCTCATTCCATGCCTCAGGACCATGCAACTCATGGAGACATTTTCTTTTTTGGTTTTCGTTTTCTCTTGGAGTTTAGGACATCCCTTCTTCATGACTTGATCAAAGCCCTAGAGAGTGCATCATTATGCTTCAAATCATAGCATGGCTTTCCTGGAATTTGACGGTTCTTCACAAACATTGTCGTAAGATTCACTACCCCCAATCACATGTCTTGTAGTCTTAATTGGTTGCGTTTTATTTTTGAATATTTATGAGCTGAGCAATCAGAAACATAGAGAAAAAGTATCTTGGTTTTCCTTCTCCAGTATGCTGGCTTCTGCTGATAACTCTATGTAGACCGAGGAATATTATGTTGGAAAAATAAACAGTAAAAGGTGAAAGCCATTTGAGTACTGTTCCTCACATTTCAACCCCAGTGGACTATCAAAAATACCCTTGAGGACTACAAAGATTCAGGACTATGTATTGTGAAGTGTTTTTTTGAAAGTTCAAAATATCACATTGTGACTTCCTTGCCACGTGCCTCAGTTGTAAGGTACTCATCCAAGTCACCCACAATGCTTAGACTACCATGCTTATCAAAGCAAATTACTGAACAATTTTTGTGTGGTAATTTTGGGCACAGAATAAATCATCAAGTTTCATTAAAAAATATTGACAAGATCTTACACTATTTTACAGATGAAAAACTGAATCCAAACAGTTGAAGCGTCCTCGTTCAGGAAAACCAAAGCATTATATGAAGAAGTCTGCAAAAAGAAAATTAGTGTCCACATGCATGCTGTGCAGCCCTGCACATGTACATAGTATAGATTGCACCACCTGGTTTCTAATCTGTTAGTCTTATAGAATATTTAATATAATGTGATTTTTTCCCTGAGAATGTGAATTCACACTAGAAGAATGATATTATAATTAATAATAATGTGTGTGTTGATTTTTCTTGCATGTACTTCACATAAGAATCATTTACATACTCAAGCCCAGAGAGCTCAAACTCCATGATACTACTAAAAAATGAAAATTCAGCAACATAGGCCATGACTTCTGAAGATCCATGTGTGCTACAGGAGATAAAATGGACCATGTGAGTAAGAAAAACTGAGTCAATTATAATGTTAATAATATTGTAGCTTAGAGACCACCTGTTTAAGTAGTCTAAATTTGGAAACCAAAGTATATGAGCCATACCTAACAATTAGTTACCAAAACATGTCAGAAGATAGCTATTGCTGGATACCTCTTATAGCCTCCCAACATGAGCATGTAGCAATCAGGCAAATCAGAGACGGACACCATCTGTGCTGGAGTCAATCGCCACACCCTACAGTGGTTGTCTAATTTGCCTCTTCCTCCCTCATATAAAAATAACTCCATTTATTTTGTCAGAATGTCATAAATCTTTCTTCAGTCTATCCCTGGTAAATAAATGAATGCAAAAGGCCTCTTGCCAGCTTTTTTCAGGTCACATTTCTTGCAATTGCTTCAGCCTTCTGATTTTTATAAACTCATTAAAACAAGTCTTTGACTCCTTAAAAGATAATTACATAGTACTGAATGTTTAAAATTCAATAATCAAGAGAAATCTTTATTCAGAGATGATTATGATGTATTTATCAAACTCCCATTGAAACATCTAAACATGATCTTATTCCATACGTACTCCATTTGAAGGCTTAAGATGTATCCTCACCGTTTGTGCTGCGCAGTAGCTTTCTGAACACCACAAGGGGGCAGAAAACGAAGAAACGAAGAGAAAATCCTTTCACACATGAGACATGCCATCAAATTGAAGGAATCTTGTTTTATTTATTTCCTTTCTGATTTTTAAAAAGTTTCTACTTTATTCACAACCCCAGTAAAATTTTTAATTGTCAGAAAACAATAGTATAAAAGCTATAAATCAGAAGTAGAGATTTCTAGGATAGTCACACAAAGTGCAAGGCCATATAAGTCTATCCCACAGGCAGAGAGTGGAAGCCAAAGGGTACTGTGGTTGAGGTCTAAGAATAAATAATTAATAAGTAAATATAAGAATATTATCAAGTATATTCTGCTACCAATCCTGCAGCCAAAATATACAAAAACAAATAAAATAAAAAGCCTCCATCAAAGTAATCAGGAAGATGATAAAGGCTGGACTCCCCCAGGGGCTGTGGGAGGGCCAACTGATTCACTGGGTAGTCTCTGCCTATAGTGGCTTGTACTAGACACCATTTTTTTTTTCCAAAAGGAAGAACTGTTAACTTTATTCTAACTATAAAATTATAGGGACCAATAAAAAGTGAATTGTTCCTTATTATGATATACTATCCAGCTCAAAACAATGTTTTAAAAACAAACATGCTACCATATGCTAAGGCAGGCACATGCCCTTCCCTCAATGAGAATCTGTAGTGAACTTGTGCACAGAGGTGATCAGAGAACTCCAGCTGGTTTCAGCTGAGAAGCTGTTGGTGAGAATCTGGACTGAAGAGTTCCACATTCTGCAGAATGACACACACCTCTTTTCTTCTAGTCAAGTTTAAATGTGAAACAAACAAACAAAATCAGCTACTCCACAAAGATCAGCTGAGGTAATCTAGAGCTAAAACTGAATTGTGTGGATTTCATTGACTCCCAGACAGTCTAACACCAGCATCAATTACGTACAGACCACAAGCCCACTAAAAACATGCCCCAAGAAACATTTGTTTACGTAGCTCACCTTTTAACCACTGCATTCTCTAATATGTTGTGATGTTTTGGTAGGATGTTTATAGGTACTCACCAATCCTATAGGCTTGCCTTTCCCCCAGACCTCTGGTCCTAATTTAGAACAGTCACATAAAGTTTTTTTTTTTTTAAATCAAGTATTTGGATGAATGGAGGCAACAGTGTGCAACGTGTACAGTAGAGTTACCAGTATGTTTAGAAATTGTTTTCTCCATCAATCCATTTGCAGAAAGCCCAGTCTGTCCTGCATAGTAATCAGTAGAATAACTCTGAATCATAACATTGGTAAGACCTTAGTATTGCAAAACTACTAGTTACCCTATGGGCTGATCACATTACTGCGTGATAACAAATCATGAGAGAAGCATGTAGAGCTAACCAACTACTGTTTCTCCATACAGAAAGACTAAAAATACATACATTTTATCAAACACCAATCACATCTCTGTCCCCTAATTTCATTTAATAGAAGGGGATTTTAAAAGAAGATTTAAAGTATACTTTCTTAAGAATACTCAGCATCTTAAATATTCTCTCTCTCTCTCTCTCTCTCTCTCTCTCT